AATTAAATTTCTTTATGTATATGAATTCAATATATAAAAATACTATTATATTTCAACAATCATACATATATTAATCTTAATATAAATAATCTAGTAACTTTATAAATATATATATTAAATATAAATATTACTCTAGTTTAATTACCATATCAATTTTAATCTTAATAATTTGAAATAAACAATTTGATATATAAAAATTTAATCTAAATATCATTTTAGTTCAATAATAATGCACATCCTAATCTCAATATCAATCTCTCAAATTGAACTAATTTGAAATAAATAACAAATTTATAACTATAGAAATTCAATATAAATATCACTCTATTTCAAGATATTTAGACGTCAATCTCAATCTTAATTTCAAATTTAATAATCTAAAATCAATAACTTTGTATATACCAATTTACTAAAAAAAATTCTTCAAATAAGTTATTAACGTACGAATTTCAATATAAAAAACTTGAAAGAAATAACAGCAATTTACTAATAATTTATACAATAATAGTAATAATCTACACTAATCTACAAATAAAACAATAAAATTTTGTATAAAAAAACCCCAAAAATATCAATTACCTCTATCAATGGAGACCGTAATGCTGTGAAGGCAATGAAGGTGGTAAAAGCTGGATTTTGACCTATCAAAAACGAAATTAAGGTCTTCTAAACTAAAATCCAAGGAAAAAATAAGGAAAAAAAAAAAAAACAAAGAGTGCTACAACTTACAAAAGGCATAATGGAGGCATGTGGTGGCTTAGAGGCGATGGATCTTGCACCAAAAGGCATGAATCTATAAGGAAATCTACAAATGCCGAATGTAAATCCAAGGAAAAAAAAAATTAATACTAGATTGTTGCTTAGAGAAGGGCCAACTCATTGGTGGGATATTCCGACAGTAGGGGGCTCAATGGCAATAAGCTAGAATACGAAATTAAGGTCTTGTAAACTAAAATCCAAGGAAAAAATAAGGAAAGAAACAACAAAAAAAACGGAAAAAAAAAAAAAAAAAAAACAAAGAGTGTTGCAACTTACAAAAGGCATAATGGAGGCGTGTGGTGGCTTAGAGGCGATGGATCCTGCACCAAAAGGCATGAATCTATATGGAAATCTACAAATGCCGAATGTAAATCCAAGGAAAAAAAAAATTAATACCAGATTGCTGCGCAGAGAAGGGCCAACTCATTGGTGGGATATTTCGACAATAAGTGGCTAGACCGCAAGAAGCCAGCATACCGGTGGCAACGGTAAGAACATGGTCGGAGAAAACGAACCGGATCCGCCGCAAAGGAAGAAGAAGAAATGGGGAAAGAAAGGGGGGACGGGGGGCTTAATCAGCGAGTATATTCGACAAAATGTTGTCGAATATACAAAGGAAATGTCATCGTTTCCTACATCTTCGACAGCAATGCTGTCGAATATATTAAAACATAATTGACAACCAAATGGCTGTCGATTATACATCTTCGACATAAGTATTTCTATAGAATAAAAACACATATTCGACAGAATAGTTGTCGAATATGTGTTTTTATTCGATAACCAGTTGGCTGTCGAAGATGTGTTTGTCGTATTTGCCCTGTTTTCCAGTAGTGAATTCTCCGTCTTTCTATCTTTCACAAGAATGCTGAATAAAGCTTCAAATTAAAGACCCCTCAAGTGACCATGTGCCCATGCAGTGAACAAGTCAATGCAACCTGAGAAGCGGCCGGATCTTTTAGTCCGGATTTCTTTCATAGACCACAAAGTTTCAGCCACCATTGTAGAAGCGGGATTAAATGCTGAAGTGTACAACAATTGCTCAAACAAAGCTACCACCATAGGTGCAATGGTCTTGACATAGATAGGGAAGATCACCATGCCATAAACTCCCAATGCCACAAAGTTGATTCTTTGAGAAAATGCCATGCCCTTCAATCTCTTTCCCAAAGCCATTAATGTTGCATTCCAATCTAACCCATAGGAATCATCTCTAGTTGTCACTAATGGCTGTCGAATATATAGAGGAAATGTCGTCATTTCCTACATCTTCGACAGTAATGTTGTCGAATATATTAAAACATAATTGACAGCCAAATGGCTGTTGATTATACATCTTCGACATAAGTATTTCTATCAAATAAAAACACATATTCGACAAAATAGTTGTCGAATATGTTTTCTGTCAATAATGAGCCAAAAAATCGATTATAATCGACAATGAACCTTATTCGACAGTATTGTTGTCGAATATGTGTTTTTATTCGACAACCAGTTGGCTGTCGAATATGTTTTTATCATATTTGCCCGGTTTTTCAGTAGTGAATCCTCTGTCTTTCTATCTTTCACAAGAATGCTAAATAAAGCTTCAAATTGAGGACCCCTCAAGTGACCATGTGCCCATGCAGTGAACAACTTGATGCAACCCGAGAAGCGGTCGGATCTTTTAGTCCAGATTTCTTTCATAGACCACAAAGTTTTAGCCACCATTGTAGAAGCGAGATTAAATGTCGAAGTGTGCAACAATTGCTCAAACAAAGCTACCACCATAGGTGCAATAGTCTTGACATAGATAAGGAAGATCACCATGCCATAAACTCCCAATGCCACAAAGTTGATTCTTTGAGAAGATGTCATGCCCTTCAATCTCTTTCCCAAAGCCATTAATGCTGCATTCCAATCGAACCAATAGGATTCATCTCTAGTTGTCACCAATGGTTGTGACAATTCAAATGGAAACCCCCACATAGCTTGCAACATTTCTTGAGCTTTTTCTAGTGTGAACTTCATATGTTGTGCTTGAGGAGTGAAGGTAGAAGAATCCATTGAAAGACTACACTGTAGAGGTGATTATACTCATTAATGGTGGGCACCAACTCAAAGTGTGGGAACACAAAAACTTGATATTGTAGGACATAGAATTTCAACATAGCTCGGAACAAGTTCCAATTCGGCACCACTAACAATAGATCCCCGATGCACCCAAATCGAACCTCAAAGTCATGCTTCTCTCTAAAGGACAACAAGCCATAGGCCTCTTTCAGCAACTTCAAGTTAGGTTTGGAGGTATTGATTGAAAAGATCGACTCCTTAGCCTTTTTAGCAATAGAATGAGATGTGACATCCTCCCCAAGTCTCTTCCCTTGTCTAGTTGTATCCTTAGTAAAATCCACGTTTAATGCATGATCTTACCTAAGCACACGGCTTAAAAGAGTTAAACATAAACCATACCCTCACATGCCATACCTCATTAAGTGTGCAAAAACAAGCTACCATATGCGCAAACGAAGGATAGCGAAGTAAAATGCCTTTTTTGTGCCTTAAACACGGGATGCCTAACCTTAGGGTGGGATGCTAAGGGAAACATGTCCTAGGGTTGTTATCTCTTTAAAGCCAATACATGTTTTCCTAAAAGGCATTAGGCGTTCTCAACCATTTATCCTTTCAGAATCAACGGGAGATATTTCCAAAAGCTAATACACAAAATGATATTACATCATTAAGTGTCGTATTAACCAATGGAAACAACCTAACAAGAACCGATCTTACTCCTCAAAGCGGGAAAAATTGCTCTTCTGAGCCAAATTCATAAGGATTCCAAACTAGAGGTTGGGTTCACCTCCGACACGAACTTAATGCAAAAATGAGAGTGAGTCTGTGCAAAGGGCATGACACTCCAATAACTTGCACAATGGCAACCACAAAAATAGCACCATATATCCCACAGTAATCAAATAAAGCATATAAAACACTCAATCGATATAGCATCCACAACCACACCTACTTACACAACAGGAAGGGACTCACCTAGTACTCCCATGCCAAATGCAAAAGGTTAACACTAAGCAACCAACACTTAGCATGCAACAAGATATAAATAATCGCACAAAAGGGAAGAGACTCACTGAGTACTCCATAGCCAAGTGTAAAAGGTGAGTATATCCACACATAAGCAAGTAGGCATGTAAGCATGGTGCATGATGAATAAGCATGTTATATCAATGATGGATAAGCACGTGAGATGATATGATGCATGCACATGTTAGCAAGGTATGATGCATGTCAAGATGTAGCAAAGTAACTATTCAAAGACAAAAACGATCAAAGCAACCACTAAAACAATGAGCAAACAAGCAATAAGCAACCAACAAGAAGCAACACGCGACAAGCACATGGAATAAATAACAAAGACACACAAAAGACTTAACAAACAAAGACAAATCAAAAGTTGAAAATTCCCCAAAGTTAAAGTATTAGCTCAACCTTTGTGAACCAAGAATATGGAAACCAGAGATTCTAGGTTCTGTCCCTAGTGAAGTCGCCAATTTGTTGACGACCACTTAAATATTTCAAAAACAATGAAAAATTAAGTGTGAGAAGATATAAAAGAAAAGGGAGTCGCCACTTGTCCAAATTATAAGGTGGGACAAGTCACCTAAAATAGATCTGTGTAAAAATCGAGGTTCGGGGATTTGGTTAGGAGTGAGGAAGGGTATATGCGCACCTCACAATCCTCCGTTTAAACATGGTTGCATACTTTAAAATTGGGGTTTTAATTCAACTTATTTATTATATTTGTATATAGCTCTTAACAAGCAAGTTTGAAAAAGAGAAACCAAATTGAAACATTTTTTTAATTTTTGGATTAAAATGGACTAAATCAAAGACATGCAGGCACAATAACATAAACAAGAAGTTAAGGGACTAACTTGATTAAATTCGAGTGATGAAGGGCTGATTTGATTAAATTCAAAACATGAAGGACTGATTTGAACAGATTTGAAACCTAGGACTAAATTGCTTAATTATGAAAGTTTTGAGTGAAATTTGAAATAAAGAAAGATAAATTTAACTTTGAGCAAGATTAAAGGAAATTAAAGGTTTAAGTTAATTAACTATGATAATTAACTTAATTGAATGATTAATTTAACATTAATTAAAATTAATTAATCATATTCATAAATCTTTAATCAAGATAATCAAGCGCACTTGGCCCGTGT